CAGGAGACCGCCTCCTGCCGCACAGCGCAGCCGGCCTTCCTCGCGCGGGGGCTCCGCGCCGACTCAGCCTCGCGACGGCCCCAGCCCCTCCGCCTCGCGCGTGGGCAAACCCTGGGTGTAGTTAGCCGTCGGTTAATACTTAGGAAACGAGGGCAGCTGGGATTAGAGGAGTTACGCGATAGGCCGCGGCATAATGCTTTAAAACGGGGGAGTGGGGTTTTAGATCCAGCGTTTAGACCCTTGAATTTAGACCGCTCACTACTCTGCGGTAGCTGCGTGGAAGGAGCCGCTGACCTGCGGGAAGCGTTCAGTCTCGCGTGTTTTGAATGCAGACGAGACAGTCCTGCTTCGACTTGTGTGTGGGCTGAGTTCCGCTTCCATCGGTAGCCTGTTTTCGTCTGGTTCTGGGCAAGGTTGTTTGTTGCTGTTGTTTTAATGATGAAGAATGAATAACTCCTCTGTCTCCTCTCCTTCCACCACCACCCCCTTTTTGTCCCCAGGAAAATCTAACGTAATGGATGCGCTTAGTTTTGTGATGGGAGAGAAAACAGCTAATTTAAGAGTGAAGCATATTCAAGAACTTATTCATGGAGCACATGTCGGAAAGCCCGTTTCGTCTTCTGCAAGTGTAAAAATTGTCTATGTGGAGGAAAGTGGAGAAGAGAAAACGTTTGCAAGGATTATTCGAGGTATATTTTTGTAGGTGTTTGCTTATGAGTCATTTGATTTTTCTGCAGTTAGGTCGATTACCTGTTTTGGCATAGTGAACTGGAGATGCTTTTTTCCCTCCTGGACGGCAGTTCTCAGAAGCAAGTAATATCACCTGTTTGATTCTCCACTGCGACTCTTCATTCAGACTTCTCCATTGTCGAATAGCATTTTTCTAACTGGTTATTAGGTTAAAATGAAAGAGAGAGCCCGCCTTAAAGACAGAGAAGTTATAAAAGTCTTTCCTGAGGTTCTTTATATATATTTATCGTGTTTTCTTAGTGACAAAGTAATTATATGCATATTTTTGATTTGTAAAGAAAGTTTTTTCTACCACCAAAAAGCAACTTCAGTGAAATATTTGAATTTGTATTTTGTGATTTATTTATAAAATCTGTTTCCTGAGTAAACAAGATTGGGGTTGTTTATATATATGTTTTTCTACATGCTAGGAGTTTACAGAGCCTCTATAAAGTAGGTGTTTCTTGGTTTTGTTTTTTGTTGCTATTTTCATTCTGGCCCACTAGAGCATGGTTTGGTTTTAACACTCTAATGTATAAATACTCTTTTATTAATTTTCCCTAAATTCAATCACAGATAATTTTAGAAATGCTTATATTTATAAACTTGTACCTTAAGGCCTAATTTAAACATTTCACCACTTTATTACCTAGGTATCTTCATTGGTTTTTCTCACTTTCTTTCAATTCTTACTCAAAAGTCTCCCACCTCAGTAAGAATCCCTTAGCCTACTCTATTTATTTAATAAACCATCATAGGTTTATTTTTCCCATCTTTATTAAGGTATAATTGACAAAAATTTATATATATATTTAAGGTATACAACTTGATGGTTTAATATACATTGTGAAATAAGTGACACAACCAAATTAACGTATGTATCACCTCACCTGGTTACCATTTTCTTTTGTGTGCGTGTGTAAGGTAAGAACACCCTCTTAGCAAATTTGAGGTGTACGATACAGTATCATTAACTATAGTCACATTGCCATAGGTTAGATCTCCAGAACTTACCATCTCGCATAACTGAAACCTTGAACTCCCTGCCCATCTCCCCATTTTCCTCTCCCCCCAGCCCTGGCAATCACCATTCTACTCTCTGCTTCAGTGAGTTTTAACTATTTTATGTTTCATTTAGCATAATGTCCTCTAGGTTCATCTGTGACATTGCAAATGGCAGGATTTCCTTTCTGTAGGTTGAATAATACTTCCGTGTGTTCTTATTTATCCACTGACAGACATTTAGGTTATTCCTTAGCTATTGTGAATACCACTTCAGTGACCATAGGAGTATACAGGTATCTTCAAGATACTGATTTTATTTTCTTTGAATATGTGCTCAGAAGGAATATGATCACAAGGCAGCTCTGTTTTTCATCTTGAAGAATCTTCATACCGTGTTCCACAATGTCTACCATTCTACATTCCCACCAGCAATGTACAAAGTCCCCTTCACATCCTCACCAACACTTGCCTTTTGGCTTTTTTATTGTAATAGGTGTGAGTGATCTCTCGTTGTAGTTTTGATTTGCATTTTCCTCATGTTTTCTAATATTGAGCACCTTTTCATATACCTCTTGGCCATTTGTATGGCATCTTTTGAGAAATATCTATTCAGGTTCTTTTCTCATTTTATATTGGGTTATAATATTTGGTGTTTTGCTGTTGAGTTGTATGAGTTCCTTATATATTTTGGTTATAAACCCTGTGCCAGATATATGGTTTGAAAATTTTTTGTCCCATTTCGCTGGGTTTTCTTTTACACTCTGTTGATTGTTTCCTTTGCTGTGCAGAAGTTTTTTATTTTGATGCAATTCCACTTACTTATTTTTGCTTTTGTTGCTCGTGCTTTTGATATATCCTAAAAATATTGACCAGAGCAAAGTCAAAAAGCCTTTCCCCTGTGTTTCCTTCCTGTAGTTTTACAGTTTCAGGTCTTACATTTAAATATTTAACCCACTTTGAGTGAATTTTCATATGTGGTATGAGATTACGGTCCAGTTTCATTTCATTTGCATGTAGATATCCAGTTTCCCCCACACTGTTCACTGAAGCGACCATCTTTTCCCCATTGTGTGTCTTGGTACCCTTGTTGAAGACCAGTTAATCTTAGATGCGTGGATTTCTTCCTGGACTATCCTGTTCCATTGCTCTATATGTCTGCTTTGATGCCAGTACCATACTGGTTTGATTACTGTAACTTTGTAATATATGTTCAAATCAGGAAGTGTGATGCCTCCAGCTTTGTTTTTTGTCCTTTGTCCTTGCCCATCTGTCTTAGTCCATTTGGGCTGCTATACCAAATACCACAGACTTAGTAGCTTATAAGAAATAAAGATTTGTTTTTCATAGTTTTGAAGGCAGGATGTCCAAGATCAGGGTACCAGTGTGGTCAGATGAGGGCTCTCTTCTAGGTTGCAGACTTTTCATTGAATTACATAGTGGAAGAGACAAGGAAACTCTGTGGGATCTCTTTTATAAGAGCACTTATACTAGCCCTGGCCAGTGTGGCTCAGTGGTTAGAGCATCAGCCTGAGCACCGAAGGGTCTTGGGTTCAATTCCAGTCAAGGGCACATTCTTGGGTTGTATGTTCAATCCCCAGCCTGTCGGGGCACGTTCAGGAGGCAGCCAGGTGATGTGTCTCTCACATGATGTCTCTCTCTGTCCTCCCCCCGCCGCCTCCCTAGGTTCATCCCCAGTCTTTGAAAAGAACCAATGGAAAAAGTACATCCTCGGCAGAGGATTAGCAACAGCAACAAAAAAGCACTTAAACTATTTGTGAGGGCTCTACCATCGGGACCTAATCACCTCCCAAAGGCCCTACCTGCTGATACTGTCACCTTTGGGGTTAGGATTTCAACATGAACTTAGGGGGACACACATAATCAGATCATAGCACCATCCTATTTAAAACAGCAATGCCTGATTCCAGTACACAGAAGCTTTCATACCCCTTTCCCAACTCTTCTTAGCTCCTTGGCACTTACCACTTTCTTTCATGATATTTACTTTACTCACATATCTTGTTTTTGTCTGTGTCAGGTACTAGGATATAAGCTCATTGAGCTCAGACTTTTGTTGGTTTTGTTTACTGCTGTAGGATACTCCTTGGCATATAGGATATTTGCTGACTGACTAAATGCATTTATTAACGTGTAAATTATTGCACAACTGGGGCATTTCAGTAAGAAAAATAATTTTATAAAACTTTCAGCAGTTGTTGGTTTATGTCTGATATTTACATTTCCTATAACAGCCTTTATTTTACTTTAGGGGGGTGCTCAGAATTTCGTTTTGATGATAATCCTGTGAGTCGTTCCGCTTACATAGCAGAGCTGGAAAAGATAGGTATAATAGTCAAAGCACGGAACTGTCTAGTTTTTCAAGTAAGTGGCTGTAAAGTTTATTTGATTCATGATTTTGAAAGTACATCACTATATTTTACATGTTGGTGTGCTTTACTGTTTTTAAAAGGGAACTGTAGAGTTGATTTCAATGAAAAAACCCAAAGAAAGAACCCAGTTTTTTGAGGAAATCAGCAGCTCAGGAGAGCTTATAGGAGAATATGAGGAAAAGAAAAGAAAGTTACAGAAAGCCGAAGAAGATGCACAGTTTAATTTTAATAAGAGAAAAAACATAGCTGCAGAGCGCAAACATGCAAAATTAGAGAAAGATGAGGTAAGGTATCATGAAGATGTAACCAATTACGTGTTGGATACAAAAACTATCAGAATTTCTAGATACTGGCTTGGGGTTATTTGTGAGATTCGTTTAATAATATAAGACAAATAAAGCCCAATGTTCATTACAGATAAGCTTTTTGATGTTTTTCACCATTTGAGTTTTTTTCTCCCCAAACAGGTAGGTCAACCTGAACTACAAAAACTTTTTTCCCAACTAAAAATAAGCCTGATGGGTTTATACTGTATATGACGGAGGTTCTCAAATGTTGCTTCTTGTCCCCTTACACTCTTAAAAATTATTGGGGCCCTGGCTGGGTGGCTCAGTTGGTTGGAGCTGTTTTCCCATTAATCAAAAGGTTTGGGGTTCGATTCCCAGTCAGGGCACATACATAGTTTGCAGGCTTGGGATCCCTGTTTGGGGCGCATATAGGAGGCAACCAATCAATGTTTCTATCTCACACTGATGTTTCTCTCTCTCTTTCTCCCCCTTCCTCTTTCTCCAATCAGGTTTTTAAAACTCGTATCCTCAGATGAGGAAAGAAAAAAATTATTGGGGACAGCAAAGAGTTTCTGTTCATACGGGTCATATCTACCAATATTATTTATTATATTTGAAATTAAAACTGGAAAAATTTGAAAATAGGTTTTTGTAATCAACGTAAAAATAACAAATGCATTTCATGAAAACAAATAACATTTTTATGAAAAACAGTGCATTTTCTTTTTATTTGGGTGACATGGGTTGGTAGGATCATATAGGTTTCTATGATACGTGATCTGTATATTGCATTGTGTGCCCACCACCCAAAGTCAAATGATCTGTCACCATATATTTGGTCCCCTTTACCCGCTTCCCTCTGGAAACTGCCCTACTGTTGCCTGTGTCTGAGTTTCATTTTATATCCCACATGTGAGTGAAATTATATGGTTCTTGACTTTTCCTTACTGACTTATTTCACTTGGCATAA